CACATGTTATCGCAGGTTGGCTCCGCAGCGTTAGGCGACTCCACTGTTTGTGATGATGACTGGCCGTGTGCTCTGCGTCCTGTTGGCTTCTGCAGTGATGCGCAGCTGCTCGTGCGTGTGAGTGACGGGGTGCGTGTGCGGCCCGCGGGTGATGGCGCGGTGACTGCTGGGCACGCGGAAGCTGTGATGGCTGCGGAAGGTGGACCCGTGGCCGGTGGCCCTGGACGAAAGGGGAATGTGAACTCTGAGGACAATAGCAGTCAGGAAGACGAGGAGGGTGGAGGAAGCACCGCGGGTGAGGGCCATAATCCCACCTCGGGAGGGCCACTCACTGCTCCGACGGGGCAGGACCAATCCAGCAGCGACCCACTGCGAAGTGGCACTAGCAATCCGTCCGGCACTGGCAGCGCGTCTGCTGCTCGGATGCGTGCAAGTGGACCGGAGTCTTTGGGCGGAGGGCACGCTGCAGGCACAGCATCCCCATGCTCCGACGCATCTCAGCAGGCAGCAGGTGGAGTGCATGCTGGTGGCGGGAGGACCTCCCAGGGCAGTCAGGCTTCGGAACAAACCGTCACGGGACAGTCACAGGTGCCAGGGACGGCGAAGGAAGCACCGCAGGGCGATGAAGGAGGAGAACCCGGAGCGCAACACGAAGTCGACCAAACCACAAAAATGACTGTGATGAATTGTTGCGCAAAAACAGCGGTGGAAGAGGAGAGCCGCCAGCGGGATCGCAAGATGCACCACGTCTCTATAGTGGCGGGAATGCTCATTATTATTATTATTATTCCCTGCTCTTACCGAAATGTCTAGCCACACGATGTCATCAGGGTGCCGAGGAGGTGGTCGAGCAGCGACATGAGTTTCCTGCTATGAGGCAGCTGCCATTGGGAGAACCTTTCGGTGCAAAGGTCCTTCTTAATGTCCAGCCGTTGGCGCACAGCCAGAGCGTCTGTACATTCTGGAAGCAGATGGTGCAGTGTTTTCTGCGGGCTAATTGTTGCGCTTGTGGAGTCTGGCTGATCCTGCGGTAGCAGTGATTGCCTCCTGGCACTGCTGCTGCGGTGTCGAGTAGCGTCTGGGTTTTGTGTGCAGCGATTTCTGTGCGGTGCTTTTTTTGTGTGGGGAAGACCGTGTCGCAGCAATCGCGGTGGAGGTCGGGAAGCGGTGGAGGGTGTTCCGGATGAAGGCACCGACAGTGACTGATGTGGTTCGTGTGTCCCACCAGTGTGGCGTCACAGTGCGGGCATTTCTTCTTCCGACGCCGTGTGGAGGGCCGTTTCTCCACAGGCGGTGCGTCGGTTTCCATTGTCGTCGGGGGAACAGCTTCCGTCCCGGTGCAGTGGGATCGTCGTTGGAGCGCATGAGAGCGGACTGTTCCGGTGAGGTGTTGCAGAAACGGCGTTGGCTCGTGCAGTCTCTCACAGTCCAGTACAGGCGACCCCAGAGCTCGGATTCCCCGCACCCTGCTCATGCAATGTTTGTCCGTTCCTATTGGTCGAGGGCTTCCTGAGTAATCAGGTGCTTGCCGCCTGGATCTGATGGCCTGGCGCCGCCAAGCAGGTAGTGGTGGGTGTCCTGATGCATGGTGCTACGCCACTTGTTGGTGAGCTGGGTGTTAATGCATGTCAGCAGATCCGTATGCCATAAAGGTGCTATTCCGTGCTCCGTGTATTGCCCGGTTGCCGTGGTCTGCGTCTAATGATCTGCAGGCTCGTTAACATGTACTCCGCGATGTTCGTAGCAAAACTGCAGCTGCACGGACCAGCCGGCACGCGTCAGTGACAAGAGACGCTGCCAGATCCGGTCCTCCGTCCAGTCGGTATGACTGCGCGGGCCCTTGGTGACGGCGGCTAGAAGAGACTGACTGTCTGTAACCACAAGCAGGGTTTTTGCCTGTGCTGGATACGATGGACACTCAGCCTTTCCATGGCCGGGAGCAGTGCACGGGATTCCGTCGTGCGGTTGCATGGGCGTGTGCCGCAGTTGGTACTGGCCTTCTCTATTATCTCCGATGAATTGAGGGATGAGAGCAGTATGCCAATCGCTGCTGACTTGGGAACGTCTACACCGCCATCCGTCGCGAGTATCCACGAACGGTGGCTGTGCAGCGCTAGAGCCTCTTCGCTGACTCTGCGCTTTTCCCGTATCAGCTCTTCCTCGTCAGTTATTGAGTGGTCTATCGGAAGTTCCACGCCAATGGTGACCCGGTGTGCGGAGGCCGCAAACCAGGGAGGAATGGAGCTGCGAAAGAACCGCTCTTCGCGTGGTGAGCTCTGAGTGATGCCATAGTCCTTTGTGTATGCGTCTACGAAGGCATATAGCTCGTCCCGAGATAATGGCGAGATGCGGAAACCTGCGCGAGGCGGTGGCTCAGGCGGAGGTCTCCGCATCCAGTCCATCTGGCAAGCGCGTGTGTTCTCAAATATGGAGAGCCGCGCGCGCAGGCAAAGGACATGGAACGGCGGCATATTAGCCTCTAGAGGTGCGGATTCCGGGTCGACAGTGCTCGGAAATCCGCTGACAATGCGCGCCAGAGTTGCGTACGTCTTTTGCGTCTCATTCTTCGCTGAATCCGTCGCTACTGCCCATATGAGCTCGCTGCCATAGCGTAATTTGGAAGCACCGTATCCAATGACGAACGTACGTGGGTCATGTGGAGATGGCCCCGCCTCTTTATTTGCTATGCAGCGTAGCTGCGATATCCGTTGCGATGTGGCAGCGCATTGCTTGGTGGCCGCCACATTTAGCGTCAGTCGTGGATCTAGATCCATGCCAAGAAGCTTCGTAGTGTGTGACGACCCAATGGCCGTGACTGGAATCTCGCAGCCAGTCACTGCCAGGGGCCACTTTTCTTCGCGGTCATAGACTGACTCCGTGTGCATGGAGAGTGTGGACCAAGCGGCTTCGCACCTCGACTGGTTGGTGGCCATGTCATTTTCCTGACTCCACGCATGCAGTTGTTTGAGAACCATGCCGGCAGTGGGAATGGCGACTTGCTGAGACTGTCCCTTGATGACAATAGAGAGATCATCCGAGCACATGTCCGCTGCGACGTCTGAGAAGCTGTTCAGCAGCGTGAGGAGCGGGTGTGCGTGGAGGGAGAAGATATACGGTCCCAGTACGGATCCCTGAGGAACTCGTCGCAGCTTGGGACGTCGATCACTGAGTTTATTGGCCACTCGTGTCTTGCGTAACAGCCACACAGAAAGTTTCTAAGCCACCTTTGGCGCTTTGCCCCCGGAATATTGGCCAGCAAGCGACTGAGGACTCGATGATCCATGGAGTCAAAGGCCTTGCTGGAGTCTACAAGCACCAACAAGGTCCGATGGGGTCCGCAGTGGAGTTGAGTGCCAATACCGCTCTTCTTGGGAAGGTTCACTTGGAAGTAATCGTTTCTGTTATGCTCAACTTCGTGTATCAGGTGTGCCGGCTGCATCGCCGTGGTACGCATGCTACGATATGCGTACTGGTGGGGATGAGGCGTCCATACCTAAAGCAGTCTCCTCAATACTATTTTCTCAGCGACCTTGCTCACGATGGAAGTAAGGCTGATGGGTCGACATGAAGCCATTAGTGCCGGCAGCCTGCCGGGTTGCAGGAGTGGGACGATGGTGGCTTGTCGCCACCCGACCGGAATCCTGCCGGTCGTCCAGCTGTGGTCAATGCAGCGGAGAGGGAATCGGAGACGCTTCGTCGAAGGATGTCGTAGTGCCTCGCTGTAGACTTCGTGCGGTCCGGGGCCTTGCCGTACGGTGCACTGCGCAGCGCAGAAAGCGGTTCCGTTTGACTGAAAGGGGCATCAAGAGGGGTGGGGGAGAGAGCCTGTCGCAGATGAGGCGGCCGACTCGCTGTTGTTCAGCGGCCCAAGAAGGGAGAGAGAGAAAAAATGTTCAAAGACTTGTTCTGTCCTCGTTGATCTTTGGAAAACTCAACCGCTCTGCGAGGGGGTGATATGGGAGGAATCCATGATTGAGAGCATCCGCTGCTCTTCGTGCTGTCCTGAAATTATTGTGGCCATCGCCCATTAACGCTGGTGTGGGGGATGGTGGAGATGGTTCCCTTTTTCGTCCCGCAATGTATTTTCAGGAGAGCGGTTCGCCTGTATTCAGCGTGCTGATGCGCCGTGGATGCGTGTTGCGCAAGCGCTCTCGGAGTAGGAGGAAAATTTGACTCCTTGTCCGTTGGATCTCCGCCTCACGGTTGGGCGTTGGCAGCCGCAGAAAGCGGGCCTTGCAGTCGGCAGCAATCCGCTCCGCTTCCGCAAGGATGCCATCCCAGAGCTTGGGACCGTCCTTGTGCATGCCGCCCAGTCAATGCTGTTGAAGTGAAACTGCAGGCACTCGCGTGAAATATTTTACGTCGGTTGACTGCTT